AGGACTTAATCCTGGCAAATTGTTATGCTGATTGAAGTGCATTGAATAGCCTGCATTTAACTGAATCATATCTTATAATTTTTCTTGATCTTTTTGATGGGCTCCTTTTGAGTATTATGCCAGTACTGCCTTTGCAGAAAGGATTTATAGATCCCAACCTCCAGCTGTTTTGGAAAATTAGAAGATTAGTTGCCCATTTGTAGTTTTCCAATCCTCTCTCCCTTCTCCAAGTCTCCCCATGTCAGCAGCAGCAGCTAGCATTGTTCCCTTGGTCTCCTGGTGTCCCAGGGAGGCATTTTCCTGTTGTTCCAGGACTCATACCCTTCATCTCTGAGGAAATACCCTCTTTTTCTGGAGTTCATCATAGTTCTCATGGGGAATGTGGAAATACAACTAGTTTCAAGAAAGTTGCTTTCTCTCCAGGTTTTTNTTACAGAAGCTCACACCCACAGTGAGGCAATGTGTTCTCATCCACCAAAGATAAGTAAGCTTACACTGCAGCAACATGAATGGAACTAGAGATGATCATACTAAATGAAATAAGTTAGAAAGAGAAAGATAAATACCCAGTGATATCACTTAAATGTGGAATCTAAAATATGACACAAATGAACCTACCTACGAAACAGAAACAGACTCACAGAGAGAACAGACCTGTGGTTGCCAAGAAGGAAGGCAAGTGGGGTAGGAATGAACTGAGAGTTTGGGATTAGCAGATGCACACTATTATATATAGAGTGGATAAACAATAAGATTTTACTGGATATCACAGGGAGCCATATTCAATATCCTATGATAAACCATAATGGAAAAAATTTTTAATGTATATATGTATAACTGAATCACTTTGCTATACAGCAGAAATTAACACAAAGTTGTAAATCAACTATACTTCAATAAAAAATTGTTTTTTAAAAAGAAATATAAGTAAGTTTAGCCTAAAAGTTGTTCTTGGTTTGAAGGCTCCTTGGGGAAGGCATTGCTACCTATCATTTGTGCCTGTAGAACTTAATCTAGTTTAGGACTTAATCCTGGCAAATTGTTATGCTGATTGAAGTGCATTGAATAGCCTGCATTTAACTGAATCATATCTTATAATTTTTCTTGATCTTTTTGATGGGCTCCTTTTGAGTATTATGCCAGTACTGCCTTTGCAGAAAGGATTTATAGATCCCAACCTCCAGCTGTTTTGGAAAATTAGAAGATTAGTTGCCCATTTGTAGTTTTCCAATCCTCTCTCCCTTCTCCAAGTCTCCCCATGTCAGCAGCAGCAGCTAGCATTGTTCCCTTGGTCTCCTGGTGTCCCAGGGAGGCATTTTCCTGTTGTTCCAGGACTCATACCCTTCATCTCTGAGGAAATACCCTCTTTTTCTGGAGTTCATCATAGTTCTCATGGGGAATGTGGAAATACAACTAGTTTCAAGAAAGTTGCTTTCTCTCCAGGTTTTTAAAAAAATACGCCCCTGCTGTGTAAACAGTCTTCCTTCCTCTTGATCCTAACTTGGTGTAAAAAATACGTTGTAATAATGAAATGGCAGAGAGTTTATGATGAATTAAGTGAAAAAAAAGACCAAATAGGCTATGAAGTGTAATTTAAGACATAATTTTAAATTTATTAAGAAAAAATTGAGATCAAAGAAATACACTTTGGCCAACATGGAAAAATGTTAAGCTGTTCTCAACATGGCTAGCACTTAGCTGTTTAGGATACTTACAGTATTAATAATTTTTATTTTATTCTCTATTTCTTATACTTTTTTGTATCATGTATAAAATTAGAATGACTTATTTTAAAAGTCAGAAAAATATTATTAATTTTTTTGTATGTTGTTCAGAGTATAGATCATAATGTCTTTGAAAAGAGTATGACAGAGTATGACAGAGACTGATAGCCTACCAAAATGCATTCTCCCTTAATAGTAGGTTAAGGCTGACATATTACTGGACTGCCCACTTGAACAACTGTTGTTAAATTTGCCTCATTCAAGATTGCTCTATCCATCTCTGTTTCTCTAGGATCTAGCTGGGATCTGGCTCCGAATAGATGCTCAGTGTGAGCTTGTTGATTAGAACTGAACTTTGACTTTCTTGACACCTTCATCACAAAGTTATAAATACCACAGTTTTGCTATTACTTAGAGGTTTTTTTTTTCCATTTATTTTTATTAGTTGCAGGCTAATTACTTTACATCTTTGCAGTGGTTTTTGTCATACATTGACATGAATCAGCCATGGAGTTACATGTATTCCCCATCCCGATCCCCCCTCCCACCTTCCTCTCCACCCGATTCCTCTTTTGTTTCAAGTAAGAACCTGTTTTAGTTCATGACTCCTACTCTAGGCTCTAGTTCTTCATTTTCATATTTGGCTTTTCTGGAGTATAAGATGAAATCTCAAGATGCTCAGGGAGGTCTCGCCACCATGGATGGTATGGAACGCCAGCGTAGCTACCAGTGCCCGATCTCTATTACCTCAGTTCTCAGCCTTGGAGCAGGTGATCTCCTCTATGTCTTTTGGTGTCTCACCCCATGCATGTATAACAAACCTTGGAGGAGGCCATACACAGTGAATTCCCTAAAACACACTCTTCTCAGGGCCCTGCTCTAAAAACTCTAGCTTCTTAGGAAACCTGGAACTCTCTGACTTAAATCTTCTTAGTTCAAGGATACTACTGCCCCTGGGGCTTCACCTCCATGTACCANCCTAAAACACACTCTTCTCAGGGCCCTGCTCTAAAAACTCTAGCTTCTTAGGAAACCTGGAACTCTCTGACTTAAATCTTCTTAGTTCAAGGATACTACTGCCCCTGGGGCTTCACCTCCATGTACCATGGCAGAAAATCACCCATAAGAAGAAAGGCAGAGCAACAGGTTCACCTTCTTTGTTTTTCTTATTTTAAGGGTTGGTCTTATGATGCCTGCTATTCAATGCCTGAAACCAATTGTCCCATATATTTGTCCTATTTTAGAGTAGCCTTCAATGGGAGTTTATCTCTTGTCATAACTGGGAGCAGAATATCCTTCCTATTTTTAGATATTTTATAAAACTACAGAATCTCACATTTCCCCTCAACAAAAATACATATTTACATGTATGTACATATTCAGTTCATGGTTATCCTGGCAGCTTCAGTGCCTAACTAAGCATGGGCAACTCTCTCAGTAATAATAGCTCATATTTGTACAGCCATTTTTATTTACTATTTGTTTCTGGCTATGTGGCATGTGGGATCTTAGTTCCCCAACTAGGGATTGAACTTACACCCCCTTCATTGTAAGTGTGGAGTCTTAGCCGCTGGACCAACAGGGAAGTCCCCACTACAGCCATATTAGCATTTAAAAAATCCTCTTACAAATATTACTTCATTTATTCTGTACATGGCATTGGTTCCATTCCACAAATAAGAACCAGACTTGAAGATGTTAATTCCTTTTGTGTAGCAATGAGAATTTCAACCCAGATTTTTTACCCAGAAGCCTAGACTCTACTTATCATTTTAGTCAACAAAAGCAGATATCTTCCTAGGAAAGGGTCTTGCACCAGATGCTGAAAAAATTAACACTTTTCTTCATAATGGTACATACTATAGCACAATGGCTCTTGCATATAGTATAACCGTGGGTCTTAATTGGTTGCTAAAAAAATTGGAGCCCATTCTGGCTTGACAAGGTGATATTTGAGCTGCTCCACATGCCTCTTCCATGTCTCAGGGTCATCTGTGATGCCCTCCTATCTACAACCAATGAAGCTAGTCTTCATTCTAGCTTCCTTTCTGCTTATGAATGGTGGAATGAGAAATGAGAACTTGAGCAGAGATGTTGGTACCTATGACTACTGTTGGGGAATGGGTACAAGGTCAGCATGGGCATGTGACTAAGGACTTAAACTGGACAAGTCTCCTAGTTTGGTTACTATCTACTGTCAATCTTTACTGGCAAGAGTTGAGATATTACTACAAATATTTTCATTATTTTAACCCATCTCAGAGCCTTTTTGCATCCCATAAAAGATGATGTTTCATCACTAATAGTTAGTCATAAATGGTCAGTTTGTTGCGAACTAGAATCAGGTGATGAGCTAGCTTTAAGGATCAGGCATTCATGCTAACCACTGCTCTTGCCCATGTGGCTCAGGGGGACATTGTGTTCGAATGGACGTCCTGGCTGGTCCTACATGGATGATGCTATCGAGAAATGGTATGAAATGATTCACCTAACAATCCCAAAGGAATAAGAATCTTGATGCTGAATCCTAGAGAATGTTATTCTATGACTTAAACTTTTCTTTCATCATCACTTTAATGTTGCTCACTGTTGGTCATCTGAGGACTCCCTTGATGGGTGGTCCAAGTTAGCCTTGAGGATGGAGGAGGAGGGAGTCCAAGTTAGCCTTGAGGATGGAGGAGGAGGGAATCCAAGTAAGAAGCCCTTCTGGGCCTGAAAGCCTTAGGGAGGAAGATGATGAATTCATGCAATGTCCACAGATGTATTTTAGACACACTTCTAATTAAATTCACCTAAACACCATTATTTGGAGAAAGAAATGGCAAACACTCCAGTATTCTTGCCTGGAGAATCCTTCCAGGCTCCTCTGTCCATGGGATTGCAAAGAGTTGGACATGGCTGAGTGACTAAGCATGAGCATGAAACACCATTATTATCTTTATTTTCCCAGAGGCTCAGAGAGGAGAAGTGGGGCCAAGCAAAGGAGGAAAAGCCCAGCATCACAGCGCAGGGCTGAGCAAACTCTGGGTCTACTCTTACTAGCTTTCTCTTTTTTGCCCTTGGCCCCACCCAGCACTGCTTAACCATACTGCCCCAAGTGGCCTTTCTGCAGGGCCGAAGTCACCAGTCAGAACCCAGGCAACGCTGCTGATGGCTGGGAAGTGGGCAGAGTCAGGCATCTGCCGACTCTCCACTTCTGCTTTCTCCAGGAAATGAGCAGAAACCCAGTGATTCATAGTGAAACGCAGTTGAAGACCGAAGATTCTGAGCTGGGTCCTCTTCCCCTAAGCCTGAGGGGGAGGTATGGGGGCGCCCATGCCATCTGACATCTGCAGGCCCTGACGGATACACTCCAGGTAGGTAACCCTGTCCTTGGCCATGCCAGGCCAGCCTCGAGGTGGGCATGGGTGCTCTGTCTTCCAGGTCAAGCTGACTGGCCGCCTCCTGGAAAGCTGAGCATGGGAGAGCATGTGACCACAGTGCCTGATCTGAGTTTGTGGATGTGGGAGGGGAGATAAGCTGAGGAGCAGGAAGTGTGTGTAGGACAGGGGGCACATATGCTTAGGGCTCCTCCAATGTCTGAGTCTACTGGGGTGTCCCACTGTTGGGATGTCTTACTGTTGGGGTGTCTGTTGCTGTTGGGCTTTGCTGAGCTGGGCCGGGCTCCAGCACTGTTCCTCAGCCTCCTACCTCAGGTCAAGCCCTTTCTCAGGGTTCTGCTAAGGAACATGACCTGCCACACCTAGGTGAGGCTGGATACAGGCCTGTGTGGGCCAAATTTGGAGTGACAGGGCTGGCCATGAGACTGTCTGTCCACCTGCTGTGTGGGCCTCTGAAAGATGCTGAACAGTGGGGGTCACTTCAGACTGGTCACCAGGAGAGATGGCTCCGACCTGGCCCTGTGGTTACTCCTAGAGGTCTGATAAGTAGGTGCCCCTTGGGGCTGTCCTTCCTTCACCTGATTTACCACATTAAAACCTTAGAAACATCAGTATTTTTGAATCATCAGGACCACAGGGGTTCAAGAATTAAATATTTTCTTCCCACCTAAAGTTGCATCTTATAGAACACACAACCAATCCTTTGTCCCAACCTCTCTGAACCATGAGGAGTTACTCTGGTAACTAAGAAGTTCACATGTTACCTTTTCCATAAAGTTTCAACTTTGATATGATTTTCTGCATAGTCATCCATTTAATTGGTCAACAAATATTTATGGAGAGCCACTTCCTGCCAGACGGCTTCCAGCCACTTCCTAAAGACAGCTAGGTCAGTGGTCAGGGGTGGGTGGTGCTGGGTGCTGCAGGCTCCAGTGGGTTGGAGAGCAGAGGGTAGGGAGTAGGGGTCAGGAAGCCCAGGAAGGCACATGTCTTCTAAGTGGAGGCCTGAAGGAAGGGAGGGCCTGAGCCAAGTGTGTTTCTGAGCTGTGCTCTTGGCAGGGGGACCCGAGAAGGTCAAGGTGCAGAGGCGGAGGACTGGTGGGCGCCAGAGTGGCAGACAGGGGTAAGGAATATGCCACGTGACCCGGCCAGAGAGGGCTGGGGTGCGGTCAGGTCAGGGAAGGCCTTCCTGTCCAGTGTGAGGACCTGGGCGGCAGTCCCCCAGACTTGGGAAGTCTTGAAATAGTGAGCAGATAGAAAGGAAAATTTAGAGAACGTATATAAGCTGTAAGGAATGAAAATGGCCCTGAGCATTGTCACCTTAGTTTTGTTTCAAAGAGCACCAGCATCTGTGAAGCCATCTGTGCTCATCCTTCTCTCTCTTCAGAGAATACTGTGGTTCTGAATTTTGGGCTTATTGTTCTTTTGCTTTTCCTTTCAATTCAACCTTGTATATTTAAACTGCTAAATATGTTATTTGCCTTCTCATGGTTGTGAACTTTATCGATAGTAATTAAATATTCTTTTAAGATTTGCTAATTTCATCAACATTATGTGTCTGACATTTCTTCATATTATTGAATGTGTCTCTAAGGCATTCATGTTTGTTGCTGGATGTGCTAAGTTGCTTCAGTTGTGTCTGACTCTTTGCGACCCTGTGGACGGCAGCCTGCCAGGCTTCTCTGTCCATGGGATTCTCCAGGCAAGAATACTGGAGTGGTTTTCTATGTCCTCCTCCAGGGGATCTTCCCGATCCCAAGGATCAAACCTGTGACTCATGTCTCTTGCATTGGCAGATGGGTTCTTTTACCACTAGCACCACCTGGGAAGCCCTTTTATTGCTAGATAGTATTCTGTTATACATGAATATACCTCAGTATACTGCAGTGGGCGCTTGGGATACTCCTAGGGTGTTTTTTTTTCTATTATAAGTTGTTTGGTGCTGTTAGCACCAGTAAACACTGCTGGGACTCTCCTTTGCACATATATCCTCTGGTGCATGTGCAAGAATTCTCTAGGGTATATATCCTAGAAGTAGCATTGGTGGGTTGTAGGGTATATAAATCTTCAGCCTTATTGGATAATAGCGAAACTTCTTTCAAGTCAATTGTAACACTACCTACCCATCAGCAATATGTAAAAATTTCTCTTGCTTTACATCTTCACGAACATTTGATCTTGTTGGAATTTTATACCGATTCAGAGCAAATGAAAAGCTTTCTGTGTTTTAAATTTGCATTTTCTGAAATACTAAGTTTGGTCATCTATTTATATCCTCCTTGCCCATTCTAAATTCTTTTTCCTGTTCAAATCTTTTTCTCTATGGGGTCATCTGTCTTTTATCTTATTGGTTTTCTGTAATGCAGTACATATTCTGATGTTAATTCTTTGTTATTTATGTATATTGTAAATGCTTTTCTCTTGTTTGTGCCTTGTCTCCTTATGTTACTTGTGATTTCTATCAATGATTGAATTTCTTAGTTTCAAACAAGCTTAATTTACCCACATGTTCTTATGATATATACTTGTATATTATTTAAGAGATTCTCCTCCACTGTAAAGTCATAAAATTATTCTCTTTTATTATTAAATTAAAAAAATAATTTTGCCATTAATATTTAGTCTTTAGTCCTACTTAGAAATGATTATTCTGTAGGGTGTGAGGCAGCAGGTAATGTTTTATTTTACTTAGTCCTTTCCATATGGATAACCAAGAGTGTTAGCTCCATAAGTCAAAAAGGCCATTCTTTAGTCACTAATCTATAACAACTCTGTTGTAAAGCAAGTTGGCATGTGTAGTGGGTCTGTTCTTGAGCTCTCTTCTGTCAATTTGTTTTTCTACACTTTGCCAGCACTAAATAATATTATTAACTGGAAGCTTATAATAAGTTTTGATATCTGGAAAGTGTCTCCTCATTTTTTCTTATTCTTTCATTCTATCTTGACATATTGTTTCCTTCTTTATTAATGTGAATTTTAGAAATGGCGTCTCAGTTTCAACAAAAAAGTTCTGTTCAGATTTTATTAGAAATATAATTTGAAGAGAAGTTATATCTTTATGAAAATGACTCTGCCAATTCATGAATATCATTTGTCTCTTTTATAAAATTAGTGCATACTTTGCCTAGATTTATTCTTAATTGGTTTGTTTTTTATATTATTGCCTTTGTCTTCAAAAATATGTTTTTTTGACTCTTGCTGATACATGCTCCCTTGAAGAAAAATTACTTTCTGTGGGTAACAAAGGAAGAAGAAATATTATTAGTTAAGAGGCTGTTGTTATGACCCAGGCTGAAGGTAACAGTGGTTTGCCCAAAGTGATAGTAACAGAGGTAATGAGCAGCGGTGAGAGTGGTAAGATTCTAGATATTTTTTTGAGAGAGATTTAACAATGTTGCAAGTGTTGGGTGTAGGAGAGAGAAGTTAAAGATAAGTCTAGAGCAACAGAGAGAATTGTCAAGGAACATATTTGCAAGGTGGTGATTATTCCAAAATATCAATTTGAACATATAAAGATGGGGATGCCAATTAGACATCAAGTGGAGGAATGAATTCTTGGCACCCTTTCCCTCAAGTGGCTTTTTGGTAGAAATCAAGGCCATGTGGCCACTTGGGAGAAGGGTTATTGTTATATCAAACAAGCATTGGAGTTTAGTGCAGAGAAAGGTTTATTAATCAAGGAGGCGCTCACTCAGAAGACAGGAGTTCTAGGCTTGTCTCAAATTCATCTTTCTAGCTGGCTGGGGCACAAGGTTTTTAAAGGCAAAAAAAAGTAAAAGGGAGAGGGTAGTAGGATATGTGATCAGCTCATGAACCTTATTCTGATTGGCTGGTGGTGAGGTAACAGGGTGATGTTTTGAACATCTCAGTCATCAGCTTTCTAGTTCCAACCAGTCTGGGGTCTACATGCCCAGCATGTGGTTACCATCTTCCACCTGAGGGGGGGGGGGCGGCAGTCCTTAGTTTCTACAGAGCAACTCAAAGACATGCGTCAGATTGTTATCTATTTCTCTTCAGGGGAACTTGGAGTCCTGTGACTCTGTTTTCCTAATCATTAACTGCATGAGTCTGCATTTTGGAACATGCAGAAGCCTTAGGAGACTAAAGTCTTTTTTTCTCACTGTAAAGAAGAAATGAGGGACATGGAGGGTCTTCTTTACCCATAGGGCCCTGTAGGGTCCTGCTTGATTTCAATTCCCCTTTTCATTTGCTACTCTTCAGTCCTGAGGGGAACACGTGCTGGACAAGATCTTTCTTATTTTCTTTCAAATAAAGTTTTGGACAAAGGGGTTAATGGTAAACTCATCAGAGGAACTTGATTTTAAGGGGACTCAGTTTCAGGAGGGGAGATATTTTGTGCAGGAGAGGAAGGGGAAGATGAGCACCTCAGAGGTCCTTGAGCCACACTGTAGAGCTCACATCCATTTTATTTACAACTGAGGCCTTGCTTTGGTTGTCTCCCTCCAAAGGTCCTGCAAACTATCAAAATGCCCCTGCATTTTACATGGGAAATGATGTCTCTGGGTAACATTTCTAAGCCCTTCATACATCTGTTAAACACTTAAGTCTCAAAGTCCAGACCTACGTTATCCAATACAATAGCCTGCAGTCATCCCTGAAAAGTGGCCAGTCTGAGCTGAGATGTGCTGTAAGTTAAAAAATGCACCTTGGATTTCAAAGATATTACAAACAAAAAACAAAATAAATATAGACTATCTTTACTTGAAAATGTTGATAACATACTGAAATGATAATACTTTAGATATATTGCCTTAAATAAAATATATTTTAAAATATATTTAAATAAAGAGGTTTAATTAATTTAACCTATTTATTTTTACTTACTAAATGCAGTTGCCCCCAAATTTAAAATTACACATGTAGCTTGAATTTGTGGTTGGTTTTATATTTCTGCTGGGAAGCACCCTTCAGGGAAATGATACTTCTTTTTCCATGGCTAAGACTGTCATGAGGAA